GCCCCCTCAACGACCGGAGGTTCAACTCTAGTCACCCCCCAAGCCGCACCTCCTCCTCACCACCTCCTACTCCACGGCTGCTGCTCCTCCTCACCACCACCTCCTTCCCAACCGCACCTTCTCCACCCCACCATGGCTCCCCTCCCAAACACACAAAAAACTATCACATAGCAAAAAAACACCGTAGGCCGTTGGAGAATGCTACGATCTTCTGTGCCTTGGATGTGAAATGGGTGCAAACTGGAGGAGATCGGCGCGGGCTTGCGAGGTCTACAGAGAAGAACGAGAGAGAGAGGAAGAAACAGAGGCGAGCAGACGAGAGGAAGGAGACGACGACATCGGCCTTATCCAGACCTTTTCTGTCAAGGCCTGGCCGAAAAGCTCTTTGGCCGCTAGCAGGCCGAAAACAACCAATTTCGGTCACGAGTAGGCCGAAGCTACTATTTTCGGCTGGCCCGCCACCGATGCCACCTCTTCGGCCCAGATGAGCCCTTCTTCGGTCCACTGCTGGACGAAAAGCTCTTTTCGGCCAAGTGCGGACCGAAAACATCCTCTTCGGCCCACACGAGGCCGACGGGGTCATAGTTTTTTTTTTTTTGCATTGGGTACTATAGTTTCCGAATTTGCTATAAAAAATAATAGTTTTGAAAAAAAAAATCGCTCTCTAGTGACAGGCCTCTCTTTGATCGCAAGGTTGTGCTCAGTCGTACTGAGCATGCCGGCGCCGAGGTCCCGTCCTGGTCAGGCGCCAAGTTGACGAGAACTGGGGTTGGTCAGACGGGCCATCGTCAAGTCTCGCAGGAAGAAGGCCTTGAGTTGCTTCGAAATTCATGCCAGACACGTGTCACCTGGCCATTAATTAGGTGGGTCCAGCTTGGTGAGCAAAGTTTGAATTTAGACTCGGTCTTATAGGATTATTGTTGTTTTCAGCGTATACTTTCCATGATTCCATCTGATTTGCAATATTCTTATTCGAAGGGTCGTCAGGCCACAATCTATGATGACGAACCAACAGCTACATAAACTAATCAGAAGGCCAATTATCTTAGAGGCCTCAAGTCTTCTACTATCAACATCTGATTCTCAAATGTATAACAGAATCTTAGCCACCAGCAAATATTGCACTGACATGACTTGACTTCTGCTCCTACCAATAAAAAATAATTGCAACAATAGGAAGTTATTTCCAGCAGTACCATTTTTCAGGATGCATGAATCTGTTACCCCTCGCGTTCTTAAAAAGAGTTTTTTTTTTCAGGGATTAAAAAGAGAGTATTTGAATATGAATATAATCCGTACTCAACGTAGCAATATGCCACTACTCAATAGCCATTGACTAACTTGTTCCTCCATTTCCTCGAGAATAATCAATTAAGTACAGTGACCTAAGCACCTAGAGGGGGCATATTTCTTATCTTCTGATCAACTCTAAAACTGGAAAGTGCAACTTCTGTTTGATGAAAATTGCAGCTTGCACTTTTCAAAAATAAACCTTTCACCACACAACACGAGCATGGAAGAGTATAAGCTGAGGAAGGTGAGCTCCTTGACTTGTCAAAATCCCATTCCTTAAGGATCAAAGTCTTGAATTGAGAAGATTCAACGGATGAACGAATTTACCAACGTCATTCTTCATGGGTTTGACACAGAAACTTCCCTCGAACTTGCCGAGCCATCGCTTCGAAGTAGAGGTGTCATCCACTTTATACATACATATAGAACGGTAGAATCTTCCAAAAGAAAAAGATGGTGCAGACAGACAGTTGGCATTATAGCTCTGAGGTGACCAATCTGAAATGTCATTTGACTTGGTTAGAATAACGCCAATTATTGTTCCTGCCCCGGTGCAATGAACATAACCATTGCTATAAGAGACTGCATTGGCCCTACACCACCCTGTTCCTGTAGAAACAGCTCAAGAGATGGACGGCGCGGCAAGGGCCACCTTGTTGGTGTTGTTCTTGCCGTTCCTCATTCTCACTGTTGCTCAAAATGTTACCCAGAGTAGAGCGGGTATACTCGATGTCGGAGTGATCCTCCATCTGAAGTCTTTGGTGGGCAAAATGGCACGTACCAGCATGTTGATGGCTATGGAAGATTTCTATGCAGTCCACAGGAATTATACAACAAAGCTAGTTCTCCACATCAGGGATTCCAACGGAGACAATATGCGAGCTGCATCACAAGGTACATATCACATTTTGAGAATTGTTATCCGTCACCGAATTTTGTACTAAAAGAAGCTATGAAACATAAGAAAGGACCTGTTAAACTTGGTATCTGTGATGAAGCGAAATCCTGTGCTGTTCTTATTTTGTTGTGCATCATGATACTAAAATAAAAAACATTTAGGAACTTTTGCTGATTTCCTCATAAAACTACAAAACATAGATTTATGTAGAGAGAAGCAAACCAAAGAAGCACTGAAACTATAATTTTCCTTAATTCATTCAGTATACGACTTCTACAAATGTATTGTGATTGTTTTCTATTGCCACTGCAAGTCTGAAACAAATTAAGTTTTTTTTAAATATACTACTCCCAAAAAGATGACTTCGTGAATTTGCGCAAAAATAAAAGTAGGCAATTTTGGAATTTCCCTATGGACTTGATTCCTTGATATACTTATGCCCCTCAAAAGTCAGAAACCATCAGTACCTTAAGAAATGATCATATAGCCCAAGTCGTCATATTCTTCAGTTATAACATCAGAGGTTGCCTAATGTACATGCACGAGATATCTTAGCTGCAACCAGAATCTACACATATGTTCTGTAAATATATTTTTTCTTGACTCAATTGCACATTTGCACAGCTGTTGACCTGCTGCAAAATTACTATGTACGGGCCATCATTGGTCCACAAAAATCTTCAGAGGCTACTTTTGTGTCTGATATTGGGAACAACAGTCAAGTCCCAATTATCTCCTTCACAGCAACGAATCCCACCCTTTCATCTGCCGATGTGCCATATTTTTTTGCGTGCAACTCTAAGTGATGTTGCTCAAGTTAATAGCCTTGCTGCTCTCATTAAGGCATACGGCTGGAAGGAAGTAGTGCCCATCTATGAGGACACAGACTATGGCAGGTGCATCATACCCTACCTGGTTGATGCCATCCAAGAGTTCGGAGCTTCTATACCATACCGCAGTGCAATCTCTCGATCAGCAAGCAGTGACCAAGTTGAGCAAGAACTATACAAGCTAATGACAATGCCAACAAGAGTCTACATTGTGCACATGTCATCGGCCTTTGGCTTTGGCTCCATTCTCTTCACAAAGGCCAAAGAGTTAGGAATGATGAGTGGAGCCTATGTGTGGATTTTGACAGATGGGATTGCAAATGTTGTTGACTCGCTGAACTCTTCGGTTCTTGATGCAATGGATGGTGCACTGGGTGTGAGATTCCATGTGCCTAAATCGAAGGAACTTGATGACTTTACTAAGAGATGGAATGTGAGGTACAGGCAAGACAACCAGGATGACCCACCATTGCAACTAAGCATTTTTGGGCTCTGGGGTTATGATACTATTTGGGCCTTGGCACAAGCAGCAGAAAAGGTAAGCATGGACAATGCAATATTTCAGAAGCAGCAACACATAAAAAACTCAACGTGTCTTGGAACTTTGGGTATTTCTACAATTGGTCCCAAACTTCTGATGCAATCCTACAGCATAAGTTCAGAGGCTTAGTGGTGATTTTGACCTTAGGAGCAGGCAGCTTCATTCTTCCATATTCCAGATAATTAATGTGGTTAGAAGAGAGACGAAAGGAATAGGTTTCTGGACAGCAAAGCATGGAATAGTACAGAATTTGAATCAAAATGGATCAGAACACACATACCTAAACTCTATGCCTAATCTGACTCAAGTGGTTTGGCCAGGAGAAGTATCTGCCGTGGGTGGCAAATTCCTACCAATGGAAAGAAGCTCCGAGTAGGTGTACTGACAAGTGGGTATCCTGAGCTTATGAAGGTTGAAAGGGATCCACTAACCAATGCAATAATTGCCACTGGATATGCAATTGACGTATTTGAAGAGGTGTTAAAGCGACTCCCGTATGCAATCCCTTATGAATATGTAGCATTTCATAATGCACAAGGAGTAAGCCATGGGAGCTATAATGATTTTGTATTTTTGTCTACCAAGTTAATCTTGGGGTAAGAAATTTTGGTTCTCACACTATCGATAACGTTATTGCAGAAATAGGCATGCTCTCTTTATTGCACAAAATATTTTACTAAATTTACTATATTGTAGTTTTTTGCAAAATTGTCTGCATCTATTCCTACTTGTACAATTTAATCATATTTTAGCAATTTTGCACACTTATTTTGTCTTTTGTAGGCAACGTTTTCCACTAGTTAGTCATACTGAATGCTGATTGGTACAAGTATAAGATAGATGGGCACAAGAGCCAACTATGTCAGAAAATAAGGCATTATTTCGGAAGAGGATTTGGAGCACCTGGGTGCTCCACCCCCCTATATGAACATTAAATTTTAAAAAATACAGGAAAAATTAAAAAAAACTGGGATTTTGGGATGTCAAACCTGGGTGCCCAATCTATTCCCGTGTGAAGTTTCGTGAAAAAATACCAAGAACTGTATTCTCAGTAAAGAAGACAAAAAATATATTTTTTCTGTTATTTTTTAAAATAAATTTTCATATACAGTGGTGGAGCAATCAAGTGCGCCTTGGTATTTCCCATTCTACTAGTGTTTCTTCTAAGATTATAGTAGAATTGATTGTTATAACTGTTGCATGCTTGCTGTTCACTAATGTTTTCCACAAGCCTTGAAAAATGCATAACCTTTTTGGAGATTAAGGAGCATTATAGAGTATACTGATCAAGTGATCACTGGTTTAAAGAAACATGGGTATGCAACACGAAATGACATGCTTGCAGGTGTACCAAGTTGCAATCGGGGATATAACTATCAGGTACAACAGAACTTCCTATGCAGATTTCACATTACCTTACACTGAATCTGGGATAGCAATGATTGTGCCAGTCAAGGATGGAACGACCAAGGATACATGGATCTTCTTGAAGCCATTAACTGCTGACTTGTGGTTTGGAAGCATTGTATTCTTCATATTCACAGGGGCTGCCATCTGGCTATTGGAGCGACGAATCGATAACGCTGAACTGACTGGTTCCATTTCCCGCCAGCTTGGAATAGCAATATATTTCCGCTTCTTTGTTGATAGTAAGTGACGATGTTACCATATGATAATTTCTTACTTCTATACAGAATATTGCATATATAATCTCAAAGAGGGTGTTTCGGACCGCGTCGCCCCCCCGCGGGCGACCGGCCGCGCGTCCCTCCTCCTCCCTCCAGCCACCCCCTTCCTCCCTCCCTCCCGCCGCCGTCGCCGGCGCCCGCGGCCGGCCTGGCCCCGGGGCTGCTGGTGGCGGCGGCCTCCCTGCCCTTCCCCTCTCGGTCGCTCTCCGGCGTGGGCGGAGCTGCTCCGGGGGGTGCTCTTCGGCGGCGATGGTCTGGCGTGGCGGCGGGGCTCCGTGGCGCGACGCAGGCGGACAGCTGGGCGGCGGCGCCGCCGTTGGCGGTGGGGCGGCGCGGCGGTGCGATCTGGTGTCGTCCACTCGGCCCAGATCGGGGCCCTTCGGGCCCCATCTGGGCTTGGACGGGCCGGCGGCGGGGATCGTCTCCGGCGTGGCTTCTGGGAGGCGGGGGAGTCGCGACGAGTGGCTGGGTGCTGGCGACGCCGATGCCGACCTGCTGCATCGTGGCCGGCGGGGCTTAACGGGCCCGCTGCGGGCCTGGCTGGGCCGGGGGTGGCCCGGCATGCCCCGCGGCCATGTCCGGACGGCTACCGCGACGGTGCCGGAGGCATGGGCCTCCCGCACGACGGCGGTGGAGGTGGTTCCCTCCCGCTCGGCGTCGGTGTTGCTGCTCCCGTTGTGGTGCGCTTCTCTCCGGTCCTCTTGGCCTCGTGGTGGTGTTCGTAGCGAGGCGGCGTTGGTGGCGGCGTTTCTGCGTTGGCGCATGGGGGTGGGCGACGGTTTGGCGGGTTGGTTTCATCCGGTTGGGCGGTTGGGTCTGGGAATGCGGGAGAAATCCCTGCCGGCTTCGGCCCCGACGCGGTGACACCTGCGGGTGCCACCATTCCTTCCTGGAGGGTGTCGGTGGTATTCACCCCCCACCTCCCTCCGCGTGCCGGGGGAAACCCTAGGACTCGTCCGGGTAGCAGCGTCGTCGGCGTCGCATTCCTTCTTGGAGGTGCTGCTTGGTACGCGGCGGTTAGGAACCTCGGTCTGTGGTGGTTTTTATCCGGTGGGCGCCGCGGTGGCGGGTCATCCGTGCTTTGCCGAGCTGCCGTAGCTGGCATTTGTTTCTTCTTCCTTTTCTTTTGGTGTGTTGTGCTGCTCGCCACAGCGATCTCTGTTCTCGGTGTTGGTGCTTTGAAATACAAAGCGGGGGGAAACCCTTTTTCGGTAAAGAGGGTGTTTCAGGGGAAAGAGAGAAAGTCAGGAGATCATCTTTCAGTTTTTTTCTGAGAAGTTTCAATTTTGAGTCAAAATCTGAAGCAAAAAAAAAAAAACTTCATGACTGGTTTTGTCCTAAATTGTTGCTCACTTTTGGATGAAATCTGAAAAGTAGAGTCAGAGGACCATCTTTGATTTTAGATAATTATTTATATTTTTCTGGGTAGTCTAAATTTTGACACAAGATTTGAAGCAACAAAAATCATAACTCAAACTGTCCAGAAAAATGTGAAACAGTTACAGAAAATTAAAGATGAATAGACGATCCCCTTAATATACTGTTTAAATTCAGCCAAACGGAACAACGTTTCAAGAAAACATCAGTTCTGTAGTTTGCTGTGTCGTGTTGACGTGAAGGGGATTTGATAGAAGTTGAGGTGGCAGACACGTAGGACAAAACCGCAGTCAACCACAGTTGGAGTTCGTAGTTTAAAGACAGAAGTTGGGAGGGTTGTAACTTTAACCTCATCAAGAACTGAGGGAGGCAGACTTCTCTCTGTTAGGAAATTCATACTGACAAAGTTCTTGTTTCAAAAGAAAAAACTGAACTTTATATAGTGTATAGAGTGAGCAGGAATCAGTACATAATTAGGTTATATATTTTCGTGTCCTGTACCGGAAGTTCAGAACTGCAGAACATAACGCACAGCTGTGACAGACTGGAGGCTTTGGTCTATAGCCTCACAGTTCCAGAGCCATGATCCAGGTAGTTAGGGTAGGAACAACAGCAGCATGCACATGGTATGCTGGGGGTCAGGAGGGAAGAAAATACGAGAGAGAGAGAGATTAGTAACTTTGTGTTCATACATTATATATGTACCTGGCGCTGCAAATATCGGAATTTTATTTTGGCGAAGTAGCACTTGATGGTATTAGGTCAATTTTCCTAATTGGTTTGTGTTACTAATGATGAGTTACCTAGTGTTGTGTGAAATGTACTCGATTTATTTTCATAATTGTTTGATTTTGTATTAAGAAAATGAAGGATGCTGTCATGCTAAGAATCAATTCAGTATTTGTGTTCCATTTAAAGTTGCTGATAGACGGTTGTTTACCATTTTGCAGAGGAGAGGGTGGAAAGTATTTTGTCTAGATTGGTTATCATTGTATGGGTTTTTGTTCTCCTCGTTATTACATCAAGTTATACAGCCAATTTATCATCAATGCTTACTGTGCAACAGCTTCAACCCACAGTAACTGATGTCCATGAACTCCTTAAGAAATGGGAATATGTAGGGTACAAAAATGGCTCTTTCTTAGGGGACCTATTAGAACAAATTGGTTTTGACAGAAGAAAGATCAAGGCATACAGTAATCCAGACGATTTTGATGATGCACTCTGTAAAGGGAGCAAAAATGGTGGTATTGCTGCCGTCATAGATGAAGTTCCATACATCAAAATATTCCTCTCTAAGCATTGCAAAGGTTATACAATGGTCGGACCAATTTACAAGTCTGAAGGTTTTGGCTTTGTAAGTTAGCTATACCAGATAATTTTTGCACATTACATACCTCTAAAGTGTTAAGTATAAAAAGACTAGGAAAATTATGCTTGAAAGCTACTCAGACATAGAAAAGGGACTAACTCGTAAAAGAACATACTTACCAAAACATGAATACATGCTGCATGACCAATGAACAGTGCTAAGACCCAAGATGATAACAAACTAATGGAGATCATCATTCTTATTTCTTAGTACTTCCAAAAACATTTAAGTCATACTGTTAGTTGTAGAAACAAACACTATTGGCCAGTGATGTAAGGTTCACGCACTATGCAGTGCACATTTGAACATATAGGTACACTGGACGAGAAGCATATGCAGTGAAAACCATATATTTAGTTCTAGAATAAAAAATGGTATTGACCAAAGACGCCAAATTACATACACAAAGAAATATAGGCAGCGGAGTGGCATATCACAGCTAGTATCAGGTTGACAGCTTCGATCGACCAAAACTTGAAACTACATCTTGCTCAAAAAGAAAAAGGAAACACTTCAATCCAGAGGCACTGGTTTGCAGAAACTGTAAATATGTACCATGTTATTTGTGTCCATTTTCGTATGGAAAATAATTTTTGAATTCCTATTACTTACTTAGTTTGTATAATATTGAATATGTTTACTTGGGTAGGCATTCCCCAAGTGTTCCCCTCTGGTCGAGGACTTCTCAAGGGCAATCCTCAGCATAACAGAGGGAGATACTATCATTCTGATAGAAATGAAATGGATAGGAGACCAACATGCCTGTCAGAATGACGGCACCACCATCGGCTCAAGCAGTCTAAACTTCAAAAACTTTTCAGGACTCTTCCTGCTCACAGGAGTTGCTTCAACTTCTGCCCTTTTGATAGCTCTCGTGATGTTTCTCTACAAGAGGTACAAGATAAGGAACATCACATGTCAGATTGAGACGACTGCAGATTCTAACCCGTCCCACAATATGCAGTTAACTGTACCAGATGATTCAGATAGCTACGCCTGCCAACAAGAGATAGAGATGTCCAGAGAACTCACAAGCCCGTGTTCAGAAGTCCAAACAACTCCAGATTTTACACCTCATGGAACACCAGGCAATGGTTTGTAGCGCCATGTTAAGTCAGCCTTATTCAGGTCCTCAGTCTCGTGTGTATTTGCCTGGTCATCTTTTGTTGTCATGTGTGTATTTGCCTGTGTAGTACTCCCTCCGTCCCAAAATAAGTGTCTTGAGCTTAGTACAAATTTGTACTAGAGCTAGTACAAAGTTGAGACACTTATTTTGGGACGGAGGGAGTATGTATGAATGTTGACAGTCATCCCTGCTACCTGCATGCCAGTGCAGCAGCAATGCAATTGTAAGCTTATTATGTAATGTATTCTAATTTTGCTCAGGTTCCAAGTCTAAATCAACGATCTATCAGTGTAATACTGTAATCCAAGGAGTATCAAGGTAGCCTGACCGACAATTTGGCACCTGAGCAATGTGTCTGTGTTCCCTGTTGAGGTCTTCCGAGAGCATTGTCCCCTTTCTTCCAGTTTCAACCTGCACAGGTTCCTCTCAACCTGAACAAATGCTCAGGTTCCAATGCTCGCATTTCATAAGACACCCTAGAAGGCTAGATAAGAGCCAACAACCAAGAAAATATTCCCATGCCACGGAAGGTGACCATCACAGCATGGCAATGTACAGAAGAAAATCTGACTCTAAAACCTGGACTGTTTGGGGCTCATACAGCCTGAATATATATATCGAAATAGAAAAACAAAATCATACTTCAATTACGAAGTACTTGCTTTATGATTCAATTGAGATTGCTCTGGTTATTTAAAGAAGAAGCTAATTAAACCATAGATGCATAGAATATATCAGTAGCAGGGGGCAGATAAGGATGCACCAGCCTACAAAACTTCAGAGGCTAGTGGGGGTTTAACTAATGATCGATGCTAAAATGCTCATACATCAGAAATATGAGACAACAGGAAAGCGATGGAGCCCTCTATCCCGGCAAGATCAACAAACAAGTATAGAAATGATAAATGTGTTCAAAAACCGCTTACTAAGCATCATCGTAGTAGGTGAGAGAAACTCATCTTAGAACATAAACATACATGTGTCAGGGAGAGAAAAAAATGGTATGGAGGGAGAAAGATCAGGTATTTATTTTATTTTCCCTTCCCTTTTGGCCCCCGTTGAACCATGCCTAAGAATATCTCTAGCAGATCCCTCAAAAGTTATATTTGAGGGGAAATTTTCAGTTTTGAGGGATTAATGCCTTTCTAGCAGATTCGCCAAACCGTATAATCCTAAAAAATATAACTTTTCTTCCCCTAAATCGCAGTGGTTTTCCCTAGTTTTAGTCTGGCAGCGTGGCTTCTCGGGATATTTAGGCAGCTGCTCGACCCACCTCACGACGCCCACCCGCACCTCGCCGCCGCCACACCCGTCGAAGTTGTCGACCCCCTGGCGGCAGAATCGAACCGCACCGCCATCCCCCCGTCCCGACGCCATCTCCCGCACCTTCTCTTCCTTTGATGGCGCCGAAATCGGCTTTTTCACCGCCGACGAGGCCGCCGTCTTGTAGCTCCGCCCGGTCGCCCGTGAGGTCGGTGTTTCAGCCCTGAATCGGACCGATGGATCTTGGAGATGGCATGGCAAGCCCCAGAGCAAGCCCAAGCCGTAAGATGGTGCCAGAACCGGAGAAATAAACCGCCGTCGCCGCCCCTATGAATCGGCTTTTTCGTTGCCTCCACGCCGGGAACCGCCTGTGCGGACACCTAGGCAGCCTTGACGGTGTACTCCGCCGCCTTGGGGCCCTAGCCGAAACTCCGCCTCCGGCCACCGTCCCTCCAACCCCGTCCGCCCACAAGTGTTTTTCAAATTGCCTCTATGGTTTTCTCCCATTTTTTTTTTCTGTTTTTCATCAAACAAAGATCTCAAATGGAGGAAGATGACGATGATGAATTCGAGGTGGCAGTTGTCGTTGTCTCTATGGAGGAAGATTTTAGGAAGCCGAGACGTGGTTCAAGGGAGTACTATTTTCGGAGCCGATTCTGCATGCACCGGGATCTCTTCAACACCATTGCAAAAGATGTGAAGATACATGATCCTTAGTTTCAACGGAGATGGAATGCAGTGGGAACGGCAAGTGTATGTCAATTGTTGAAATTACAGTAGCATACGTGTGAGTCCTTTCTTATGGATGCACGGACGATGCCATCGATGGCTATCTTCACATTGGGGAAGATCTCTTCCTTGAGTGTACTAGAAGATTAAGCGCAACGGTGATAAAGATATATGGACTGGAGTACTTGAGGACTCCCAATGAAGAAGATATTGAGAGGCTAATGGCAGAAAATGAAGAGAGAGGTTGGCCAGGGATGCTTGGATCCATTGACTATATGCGTTGGACATGGAATAATTGTCCTGTGGCATGGCAAGGTCAATACTGAGGACATTGCCATGATCCAACCATCTTTCTTGAGACAATTGCATCACATGATCTATGAAGTTAGTACACATACTTTGGGATGCCTGGCTCTCACAATAATCTAAACGTCCTTCAGCGATATCCTTTTTGCAAGGCTTGTTGCCGGTGACAATCCACCTTACAACTATTTTGTCAATGGCCATGAGTACAACATGAAATACTACCTTGCCAATGGAATCTATCCTTCATGGGCCACATTTGTGAAGACTATCCACAAACCTAAAGGTAAAAAGAAATCACACTTTGCAACTATGCAAGAATTTGCTAGAAAGAATGTTGAGAGAGCTTTTGGTGTGCTTCAAAAACGCTTTGCAATTGTTCGTGACCCTACTGCATATTGGAATCCTAAAACCCTGTGGTAGATCATGACAGCATGTGTTATCTACTTATTTTGCACAATATGATCATCTAGGATATGAGAGAGGACCCGCAGGACTTTCAGTATCTCTTCAATGGGCACCTGGTGGAGCCACAACATAACCCAAACATAATTGAAGCCTTACTCCAAGCACATCATTGGCACCTTCAGGGCACTTGATTCTTGTGTTATCATGTTTATTTGAATTCTTAGTTCATTTGAACCGTATGTTGTGTTCGAATTTAAATTGTTATGTTTCAAAACAATAATTTTATGATGTACTGTATTTGAATTGTGTGCACTTTCAGGTTCTTAATTAGTACGTTGTGATTTGTTTGAAAACATTTTGAGGATTTGGCAAAATAAAAAAATCAGGATAGGAGATCTACTAGCTGAGCAAAAGTTATTTCCCTAGAAATAAAATAGGAAAATGGGATAGGGAGAAGATTTTTGACTTTAGGGATAGGGGATTTGCTAGAGATGCCCTAAATTACCGACGTGGGACTAAAAAATACCTGTGGTAGTAGAGCTGCCATCTTACCAGGACAGCCAGCTTCGTTCTCCCGGCCGCTGGCCTCTCCGGCGCCCTAGTGCCGATGCGCGGGTGACCTCCACCGCCTTCCTCCCACCTAATACGCTATGATACCCGCCAACGCACGTGGTCTCCTTACCACGATGAGGCGGGTACAATGTGTATCCACCGTATCGGGAGACTGAAGCAGGGTTTTTTAGAAACAGGGACTGAGGGCAACTCCAATGGGAGTCACCAAAATGGACCTCAAATGTCCACGGACACGCCATCCAATGCTAGTCATCAAATTTTCCCTCATTTGTCCGCCTCTCTTTTCTCGGACATTTCATCGAACATGTTGTATGCACTCCCGGCCATGGCACGCACTGCATTCACACGCCGGCGGCCTAACTCGCTGGAGAGGCCGGGCCGTCGCACACGCGCACTGCACTCACTCAACGCAAGAAGCGCACACGCGCGCCTCTGCGAGGGCGCGAACCATCGTGGCGGCCGCCTCCTCATCGGCCGCCAGCACCGCGGCGCCGCGCGGACGGACGCGCGCGCCACGCAGCAGATCATGGCCACGGACCACGGACAGACGCGTATGTAACTGCAGCCTCGTCGGTTCAGTTCGTGCATCATC